ATGGTCATATATTAGTTTGTGGTTTAATGTCATTTAGGTTAGGGTTAGGGTTAGGGTTAGGATTATCAATCATTAATCATTATTGATATCAGGACCTGATGATATCAAAGTTGGGAACACAACACAATGATTGATAACCCTAACCCTAACCCTAACCCTAATCTAAATGACATTAAAGTAAACCACAAACTAATATATGACCATGACCATATATTATATATATATATATATGTTATTATGACCGTTAATGACATTAAAGTTGGGAACACTCCTAAGGGAGTATCACCCAGTTGTGTGATGAATTAAAATGATACATCACATAGAGCTCACCATCCTGCTGTATAATAGTGCCAGTGCAGTTTTGGGTAATTTGTTTCTAAAATAGAGAGGGAACAGAATACCGACGTTTATAATAAACACAACAACAACAACAACAATAATAATATAAATAATAATATTTGAATTAATCTTCATATACAGTTTACTGCATAGTGTTATCAAGAGGTATGTGGTAAAATTGCACAATCCATGCTTAGATCGACGTGGATGCATGGATCGTTGGAATAATTGTAATAGAATACTAGTTTATTGGTATAGAATGATCATAAAAAAGTTGCCCAAGAGATTGTGGTCTTTACAAAACAATATTGCGAGAACACATGGCAGCAAGTCAGCTATGAGCAATAAGATGCTGATCGCAAGAAGAAATTAACCAATTAAATGAAGATGTGGAAAAAAAGTCACTGATGAGATATTAATTAAATTTGTACCGAGGATATGATTCACTTTGTAAGTACTCTGAATGACATGGGAGTTGCAAGGAATTTAATTAAATTACTATTGAATTTTTTTTTTGAGGAGGCACTCTCCTACCAGTGGTATATGTCTTTGGGAAAATAAATTGAATTAAATTGGGGGTCCATGGGTGCAATCCTGTCCCGTGTATGTGGGATATCTCACATAGAGATATGGAGAAGGTGGTACAATGTACTGTTATACCAACATTAAAAAACATGTCTCGTCAGCATCATAATTATTACAAATTAAAGCATGTTTGTATAATTGTTGTTAATACAAGTTGTTAATACATTATTGTTTGTTATAAAATTGAGAAATATTATTCAAGTGCTGTAATTCTGAATCATTATCATAATGTGACATCCTTGTTGCATAGGTTGGATTGCTAATGAATAGTTACTTGGAAGACATGGGGTTACCACAGGAACAGTTCATCAAGGCTTGTGGTTCGTCTAACCCAAATTCATCTATAACATATCACCAGGTATGCTTGAAAATATATAGGATGTGTGTAATGATTGTTCCATAAAAATAAATGAAACCCCGTTAGAATTCTAAAGAGTTTAATGAATTGTCTAGTTATACTTATTATGCAATTAGTGATAATTAATGATAATTAGTGATAATGAATATGTAATACAGTGGATGTTATTGAGATGTGTCACTAGGTCTGTCCATATCAGAATGTAATTGTGTTCTAGACTAGTCGCAAAGAATTTAACAACACTAGGCAGCTGGTATTGTTGATCCCGCTAACTTAACAACAGCTGTTGCGTGCATAAATACATTCACGTTTATTAATATTAGCCATTGTTTTCAAATAGGGTTTGTTTGAGCAAATCTGGGCCGCTGATGATTACGAGATATTCAAGAGGATGATGACGCAAAAGAATATAGAGCTCGAGTTGCAGGTATCAACGATAACAACCCACTTGGTTACCAGCACGTGTTTAATGAAAGTTGAAGCCAAGTAGCGCTTTATTTTGCGCTCACTGACTGTCACTGTCAGATTGAATTTTTCCTGAAATGAGTGCCAAAGCTTTCTTGTCATTTTGATCATGATTCATGTGTGAGAATCTATAACGTGACGCGAAGTGTGCGCATGAATTTTAAGCGGCCATGTTGTTTGTCACGGTTGTCAGGTGCTACAGCAGATCCAAGCCAGGAGTGGTGTGCTGCCGGAATCCATGGTCCCAGGGCCCAACACGAATCTCTTGGTCAGCTACATGGAGAGGACAGAGGAAGAGATTCTCGAGGAAGTGCTCAGGTGCTTTTACGTGCTCTGCTTTACTCTGCTGTGTACGCGCAGGCTAACACTTGTAACGGCCAATCTCAAGCAGGAGGCGCTAAATATATCTGTTGTCCGGTATAACGTATGAATAACGGTGCGTAACGTTAGAAAAATGTGACTATTGTGTAATATCATGAGAGTACAGGATAAAATTAATAATTCATCCTCTCTCGATAATTTATTTGCGTTGGTGTTCAATGACATGATAATTCATTTGTGGAACTTATGTATTTGACTTTGTCACGTAGATTTAATTATCTCTAATGAATACTGTCGACGAATGTATATATTGATAATGGAATTACTATAACACTATAAGGATGCATTGTGTGTCAAGCTGGGCGGGGCCCGATGTACATCAAAAATCTATTGAATACAGGTTAAGTTTTAATCTGAAATTTTAAAAATTCAGGCAATCTAAAGAGGAATTTGAAGCTAGTAAGAATATGAGCGATGAAATGCAGAAACGGGATGAACAAGACCTGCAGAAGGCTTTTACTATCTCAGCAGAGGAAAAAGTCAAACTAGTAGAAAGTGCCCGCATCGAAAAGAACCTTCTTGATAAGGTGAGGATCGAAAGTCATGTCTGCATGCGAGCTCAGACTCGTTTACATGTTGTCGTTGCTAGAGATGTTGAGAGTGCTGAACACTACACAATAATATATATATGTCAGGAGTAAATAATCACAAAGGAGTTTGACATGCATTTTCATATTTATTTTTGTGATTATTTACTCCTGATATATATATATATATATATACACTATATATAGTTATGTATCGACATATATGTACATATGTACAATATATATGCAGTATGTTACAGGGGTAGAAATTGGTTTGAAAATTTACAGGCCAGCCGGGCCTGTAGGTAAGGGATTTACAGGCCCGCCAGGCAAGTTATGCAGGCCGGGGACGGTTTTGCATGCTGGGGGTGGATTTTCTACGGGCCCGTCGGGCTTGCTAGTATTAGAAATGTCAGGCCCGAGCCTTGAAATACGGGCATCGGGCCCGCGGGCCCCTTAGGATTTCGACCCATGTGTTATATATATGCAATACAATACATAATTATACATAATACATATATGCAGTGAGTACAATATGTTATAGGCAGTGAAGTTGTCACTGACGGAGCAGGCAACTGTGGTAGCTGTATCAGGAGCGGCTCCGGCCAGCAATGCAAAGGCTAGCAGTGTGATGCCGACTGCAGCAGAGGTTTCTTCGGACAGTAAAGGCAAGGGTGCAAGAGCTGCATCAGCTGTTGCAGAAGCTGCATTAGTCGGTAAAGGAAAAGATGCTAGTGCAACATCAGCTGTTGCGGATGCCACACCAGTCAGTAAAGGCAAGGCTGCAAGTGCTGCAACATCAGCCGTCGCGGAAACAGCTGCAGTCAGTACAACATCACGGAGCAAATCTACAGATGTTAGTGGCCCAGCAGTAAAACCTTTGTAAGTCTTTTCTTATCTAACAGTGTCCATGGCATACTGCTATGTATGCATTGTGTAAGCGTGTTTAAGGTGCCTTCCACAATTTGTAACGATAGGTCCATATTTGCGTAGTACGTTTTATTAATGATAACATTTACTTAGGAGATCAAGTTGAACAGTTTTGGGATGTTATGGGATTCGATAAGTAACCAACTGGTAGTAAAAAAAAGAATGAAATATATTAATGGGTACATGGTATATAATTGATGATGTAGTTGGGGTTGTCTCATTAAATTTAAACAATTCTATTGGTAAGTGACATGGTGCATGTGGAAGCCTTGTAAGTTTTGTTTAACATTAGATGCAATTTGATGTGTTGGAATGTATGATGATTTACTTTTCCATCTTTCAGGGATGACAAATCGGCCCTACCACCTCTTAAAGTTGATGCTAAGTCACCGGACCGTGAAACAAAGGTGGGCAAAACTGGAAAAGATACAAAGGTAAAACATTAGGTATATAGTGGAAAATAAGTAGTCGCATAATTAAACCTGAAAAGAAAAGCAGATGCATGTTTTATTCTATTGCCAAAAACATTAACGTTTCAGCCATTAGCAAACGAAGTAATTACATGATTGAATAATTTCATCGGATCTTTATAGTTCACATGCTAATAAAGTTTATCTCAGTTAGATCCAAATTAAGTTAAAAATAACGTACACTGACGTAATTTTCGTCAGTGCATGTAAGTTATTTTTAACTTAATTTAGATCTAACTGTGATAATCTTTATTCGCACGAGAAGTAATTACAGTTGAGCACATCACATACACACACACACTTCCAAAAACCTCCTGCTAGCAGAAGTAGATTCATTACGGCGCATTTTTTTGGTTGCTCCTAGAAAGCAAACATCGCAAAGAACGAACCTCTGAAGCCGATCACGAAGAAAAAGGGTCCTGTCGAGCCGACAATGGTGCCGCTCGCACCGACGGAGGCAACTGACGTTGCTGCTGCTAGCTGGGTGAAGTCGGCGCAGGCTGAGGCCAGCTCCTCAGTCCTGCTCACGTCGAGCTTACGTGTAAGTATGTTTGCTGTGATCTTTGCGTAATCGGAGAAACGTGTGTGGTATGAGAGAAGAGAGTACCAGACCAGAAAGAAGACCAGAAAGTAAGAGAGAGAGAGAGAGAGAGAGAGAGAGAGATATATATATATATAGAGAGAGAGAGAGAGAGGGAGAGAGATAGAGACAGAGAGAGATAGAGAGAGGGAGTAGAAAGCATAAATTACCTTTCTTCTTTATTTATTCATCCGACTCCCGTAGGGGTCAGTGAAGCGATAAATTACCTAATTACAATAATTACCTACCTCCTATCCTCTTCTCTCTTCCTCGGCAGACGTCAAACATCGGTGGGTTGTCGTCGGAGGAGGTGAAGCAACGCGCCGAGTACCTGCGGCAGCAGCGCGACAAGCTGCTCGCGATGAAGAAGCAAGCGCGCACGCAGAACCTCACCACCTTCGAGCAAGCGCAGCCCGAGCGGCGGCCCGAGTCGTCGCGGGCGGCCCGCTCGCTGATGGGCGGCCGCGGCGCGCAGCAGCAGAACGTCGACGAGAAGACGCTGGCAATGCGCCTCGCGCTCGCGCAGAAGCTGAAGAGCGAGGTGATCGGTAAGGACGACTGAGCGGGGCTTCTTCTTCTTCTGCCGCCGCCTCTCTCTCGCTTTCTCGCTAGATGCCAGGCGTGTGGGGACGATTGAGCGGGGCTTCTTCTTCCCCTACCGCCGCCTCTCTCGTTTGCTCGCTAGGTGGCAGGCGTGCGGGGACGACTGAGCGGGGCTTCTTCTTCTTCCCCTACCGCCGCCTCTCTCGTTTGCTCGCTAGGTGGCAGGCGTGCGGGGACGATTGAGCGGGGCTTCTTCTTCTCCTGCCACCGCCTCTCTCGTTTGCTCGCTAGGTGGCAGGCGTGCGAGCACGATTGAGCGGGGCTTCTCCCGCCGCCGCCTCTCTCTCGTTTGCTCGCTAGGTGGCAGGCGTGCGGGGGTCGCTCGCCGCGCACTGTGTTTGCGGGTTGCCGTGGCATTTTTGCAGAGCGATGTAAGCGGTCTTGTGGAGTAATGCGTTGAGTTTTTGTTTTCGGAGTGAAAATGTTGCCGTTGTTGTCAATCTGTGCAAGATCAGCATGAGTATAAGCTAGCTTTGTGACATGTCAGTCACACAAAAAGTGTCTTTTACACGTTCTTTTTTTATGCATGTTCCAAACCAACAGGTTAGAGAACTGTAGGCAAGTATGTGTACGGAGTTACCTACTTATCGATGCACATTCTCGCGTACGTCATGATTTTCTAAATTTCCACGGCCTGACCATATGACATGGTATCACCACATAACCTCTCTACACGTCATGATAATGCTATGTGACATGATACCTTCACATGGCATATCATTAGTGATTTTTGAATGACGATCGAAATACCTTTGGCGATCTTTGTAAGACATGTCTTTAGCAACCTTCATGGGACATATCTTTAATGACATCTACATGATCTGACCTTTAGTGACTTATATATATTATTATATTGTATATGATATCATTATATAGCATATACAATGGCTTCTCTAACCCAAATGGCTGAATTAACCATGTAACCAGTATAATATACACAACAACTCACTCCAACCAAGCTCAGACGACGAACCATTAACAAGATATAAAGTGAAAGTCAGCGTACTTGTTCCAACCACACTTGCCACACATAACCATTACTATTGCTGAGAGGATCTATGTTCCCCGGGGTACTGCCGGAACGTACCCTGGTACTATCTAATATGCCGCGACCATAGCTCACCTACGTCCCACTAACGAGTCTAGGAGTCCCCTACGCCTATCCCTAACCTAATCTACCCTCCCTAATCCTAAAACCTAACCATATCAAATAGTGACCAGGGTACGTTCGGCAGTACCCTGGGGGACATAGACCCTATGAGCATTACTATTACATATGATTGCATAAATATCATGTTCAGATAAATATGAGCTGCACTGCCGTAAACATGGCCGAATTGAAGCCTATATTAACTCTTAACAACCATAGGCTTTATTTCACGTTATTTAACACTCTCACGTCTATTTAGCAACCCCTTCTGAAACTATATTTAATTATATATCGCTTTGGATACTTAATCTTCATGCCTTGACAGAATGACAGTGGCCACATTCAAAACACGAAGTAGTTTAATGTCGATTTTCATTTTCAGAAAAACCACTTCACTTCTAACAAAGGGCCCAAAGAAAAATGCACGTGAGACAAAAACAGTACATAGCGTGGAAAAGATAGAAACCACTTCACTTCTAAACAAGGGCCAAAGAAAAAATGCACGTGAGACAAATACAGTGCATAGCCTGGAAAGATGCCGAGCATAACATAGAAGC